TTTGAAGTCTCACTGGACAATTTATTCATAGATGAAGAAGATTAACAACAACAGCAACAAGAAATACACCAGAAATCAAAGGTAAGAAAACAATAACAGTGGTAATGATAAACAAATTAGAAACTGGAGCACAACTAACAGGGGATATTTGTGTAATATAAAATAAGAAAACAAATAATCATTTGGATCATTAAAGGATAGAACAAAAGGAAGAAAGGAATGTAATCAACTGTTAACCATCGAAGTTTAAACTCGCCAGGCTTTGGAAGTTGAAGAAGGCTGCAATCATACCACCTACCATTGGTCCACATGGAGATATGGATGAAGAATACTGGTATTGATTGCTTAGTGGAACTGTATCAGAATGGAAGCCATTTAGAAAGAGTAAGAATAATCCGAAAAGTGATGAATACTTCAAGTCAGAGGAAAATTGCAGGATACTTAAAGCTATTGGTTATGACCATGAATTAATTCCAGATATTAAAATCTTATCTGAGAAATAATAATAATAATAATAATAATAATATTGCCAAATGTAAGGTATCTTTGAAGATCTTCAAAAAACAGACAGGGTGGAACTGTACTGGAAAATCTACAACTTTACGAAACGAAAGTGCAAGAAATTGGTATGAACAGCATTCAGACCTGGTTAGGGGATAGGACCTGTAACAATTTTATGGGACTTTACAATACACACAGAGAACAATCGAAGCTAATCGCTCAGACATCGTAATTAGTGAATCGCAAAGACAAAATGAGCTGTTATTGACATGGTAGTCATGCAGACACTAATGCATTTTTGAAGGTCTGTAAAAAACTATGAAAATACAAGGATCTTGAAATCGAAATCTCGAAAATGGGGCACAAGACGACATCAACAATTCCAGTTGTAGCTGGAGCCCTCGGGTTGATTGGAAAAGATTCTAATAGACTCATTGAGGAGATTCCTGGTAGCCCGTGCCTTAAAGAAATGCAAAAAAAAAATTCTTACAAGTACAGCTCACACCTTACGAATGGCATTATCCAAGTAAAATATATGTGATTTTTATTTTTTTATTTGTATTTTTTATTTGATTTTAAATGCCTAGTGGAAAATGTCATGAGGCCATTTCTGACCTTAGGCCTCAAGTTGGGACCCGAAAAGAAATGAGTATACACCAGAAATTTAAGGAAATAAAATAATAATAATAATCATAGTGTAAATCAGAGAAATGTATCAGGCTCCGGCTCAAGTTTTACTTTTTGTGGTTGTCATTTCTCGAGACTATTTCAGGGAATGTTTGGTTCGCAAGACGCCTTCGGGATACGTAACATCATTGGGAGTGCGCCGTGGTTGTGTTGCTTAGAACAACGCATGCGCTGAGGAAAGTGCTGTGTCTCTAAGCTGCGGATCGAAAAGCTTCGATATGACCATTATGATTCGGCCGAAACTTCTCAGAGTCTGAGTGGATATCCTGTAATAATAATAATAATAATAATAATAATAATAAAAGTAAGTGCTAGCTCATAGACAATGGCCGTCTGTCTGATAAAATATCTTAACGAATAAATCTTCTTTATATTCAGTGTCCTTCCAAGACGTGAGCTATCATGGCTCTTCACATCTTCCTGTCCGTTGTAGCTCTTAATAAATTTTGTCTTTTAGTTATTTCTCCTAAACCCTGTTCCACCACGCATTTAATCTCTCTGTATGAACAATGTAAATAGTGTAAATAGTAGGAAACAGTTTACAGGAGGAAACCTTAGGCATTTCCTAAACTTATTTAGTCTGGCACAAGGACTCAGTTGTTATATATCCATTGAAGTCCGAATTAGTTATATTTTTGCGATTTGGTGGGCGATATAGGTATTTATTAAATTTAGTCTAATTTGGTACAATAAGGGACATCTAATGGAGATCAAGGCACTAAGTAGGAGGCACGGTGGAGTAATAATACCCTTGGAAAGGTATGAATTCTTTTCTTCTCAATGGGTAAATAACAGGGAAGACCTTGGATGGCAACTGGTCTACCCCAGAAAGAAATGGCAACCTACTGCGGGGAAAATCTGCCTCATCAGTCATGTATCGAAAAATACACGATTGCCTTAGCGTGTATCACGCATGACACATAACTGACTGAATGAAGATCGAAGTCATTATAATTCGAAGTTAGTCTGTAAGACAAGTAGTCTATTAGCCCTCAGGCTACGGTAGATGCACTTGATGAAGTCGAATTTATTTTAATCGCTAGGAATGTTTCTTAAGTCCATACATTCCCCAATGGAACTTGTAGGATATTAAACTCAGGTCAATAATTGAAACTGTTCCGCAAATTTCATTTCCTGATGTCCCACCCATTTGACCAATTCACTCCTACATTCTTTTCTTTTCTTTCCTATTCTTTCCAGATAAGTTGACGCAAATCCCATTTGCTGCGAACGGGAAGCTTCTCTAAATTATCAAAAGCCATGTTCAGGCCATCCACCGTGTATTCCTCTACTTGAACGTTGACCACCGGCTAGTGGCCACATCCTGACGTAAGAAAGGCGTCGAGTCATTTTTTTTGTCTCCTCAGGCTCACTTCCTATTTTCTCACGAAGAACAGGATGGGAATAAATTATTTTGTGAGACTTGGATTATCTTTGTTGATGCTTATTAGCCTCATTAGACGCAGAGATTAATAAAAAGTGAAATGCATTCGATATAAGTATATACTTTATACCACAATTTATAGCAAAATTCAATTAACTGAAAATAACGGCAAGAAAATAACAATAAAAATAAATATATTGGGACTTCGATTTATCGAAATTCATCTTAAAACTATTTTTAACCTGTGAAAATTTTTAATGAATCTCAATTCTTCAGTTAATGACTGAATAAACTCATAGCGAGTTCTACGACAATAAAATATCCCTAGAAATTATCTTATCGCATCATTAAATATTTAATTGGTTTGGTTTGGTTTGATTTGTTTTATGGCATATCAACCTCAATGGGTTATTTAATGCCGACAAAATTTTTATTGCTGTTAATATTTTTTTTCTTCAAAAATATATTGCTGGTAATATTCTTTTTCTCCAAAAAATTATTGCTGGTATTAAAACCTATTTTTACACTTTCATAGTGTTTTGCCTCCAGTATGGTGGTTAACTATTTGCCCATAGTTGGGACCCTAACACATGCTACCACCGCGGGTCAGGGTGGACATGAGAACAGCAGCAATTAAGAGGTGGTTCTACGCTCTTCAAAACCTCCTGATCAGAGGCCTTGATGCCGGATGTAGTTTACTCAGGACGCTTAAAAACTTGAACAAATTTAACAAAATATTGCAATAACATTCATGAATATGAATGTTGGTCGTTATTTTAAGCAGTAAGGAGGTACAAAAGAAAACATTTGAAAAATGACAATGTTTTTTCATTTCACTGAAACAGGCGTTAAACACTTCTATCTTCGCTTCTTTCTTTCATTTTCTAACTGAGACCAAGTAGCTGCTCTGATATTTTTTGGTCTCCTCACGCGATCAAAACGGCATATTGTGTTTCTTCAACACTGATATGGCCAACAGGCAACTGTTAAATAATAGTCTTAGGCTATGATTTTTTACTGTATTTTGGCTCAGATCTTCTGAGGCTGACTTTTGTCAAATTGTAGACAAAATAAGATTTTGATTGTCTGAGCCGATAGTTGGAATTTTAGAGAGTTATTTCGTGGAGTTAAGTTTTACACGTCATACACAGGAGACGTGGTTATTCCGTATCTCATCGAACTTGCTCCCCAGTGGTGGGTGGGGGTGATAGATCGACCCCCACTGGCTAGTTAAAAATGTACACGTGGATGTCTTTAATAAAGTAGTAAGTCAAAATCCCTTTTGTTGAAGTTCTCATATTTACCTCCGAACTGAAAACCAACTAGCGATCACACGACCGGGAGAAGACAGCCGAAAGAGAAGACAACTTTATTATGATCGCCTCAAGACCGTCAACTAAGAGACGCCCAGAAGAGAAGGGGAGATACAACACAACTATGCGGAACTGGTCTTACTTGGAGTTTCTGGAAGAAAACGAATAAACTATCCTGATCAGTAATTGAGTAAGGCCAGTACGGTAACACCCTTAGTCTTCCTATTTAGAAATGAAAACAGAGACTATGGATCTATATGCATATCATTCCATAGACGCTCAGTTGTAAGTGGAAAATCAGGCAAAGATATTCCAGATGAGTCAAGAGCAGAATTAGAAGAGAATTTACGAGAAAAACATTCTACTTTATCAGAAGAAGTCGTTAACACGTCAAATCGAGTGAAAAGATGAGAGATAGAAGACTTACTCTTATTTACACACTATTACAGGGTCGCCATTAGTCACGTGAAACAAACTTGTCAGAGGTTATACGGTGCCTCATTCTATCAGTAAAACAATGACTTAGTCCCTTTGCGGACACGGTTAACAGTTAAAAATAAGCTTGTGTTGTGATCGGATTTATCACGCTAGTACACCCAGAAAAGTGATTCTATTGAGCTATAGCGGTTGAACGGGCCGGTGTGAACCAAGAAGATTTTGGTTACACTTGATACTTGCGAGAAGGTACAAAAGGATCAATGACGCCTTTAACTCAAGAAGAAACTTCTGTGGCACAATTCTCAATACGAAATTTTGTTTTTTGTTTTTAATATCCCATATATGTTTAGAAAGCATTGTGCTGTTCGTGTTTTTACTAATTGTAAGGTATGTTTTGTGTGCGTAGTTTCTTTGTTACCAGAGTCCTTCAGTTACTCCTATGCATATTTTCCTTCATTGTCTGCTAATTTTATAGTGGCTTGGTATATTACGTTGTTCTACAAGCAGTTGCCGTTAAGGAACATTCGTTCTTTGCCACATATTTATACTATATAGCCTCTAGAATAAAGGTCCAAGTCAATGAATTGAATTGTTAGACATTCATATACCGTTGTCAAAGAAAGAGTCCTCGTCCATTTTATATAAACAGAGGAATCCGTTTATTATAATCACAGATAATGTTATCAGATGATTTTGTTATCAAAATCAAAATATCCCTAACAAGTTGTTGTTGTTGTTGTTGTTCTTCTTCTTGTATTCTTTCAAACTTTTCTTCTTCTTCGTGTCGTATTCTTTCAAATTCGTCCTCTTTTTTGTGTCGTATTCTTTCAAAATATTCTTCTTCGTGTCGTATTCCTTCAAATTCTTTCTCTTCTTCTTCTACTTCTTCTTCTTCTTCGTGTAGATTCTTTCACACTCCTCTTCTTCTTCGTGTCGTATTCTTTCAATATTTTTTCTTTTTCTTAGTGTCGGTTTTTTTCAAATTCTTCTTTGTGTCGTATTCTTTCGTGCTCTTCTGCTTCGTATCGTATTCTTTCAAACTCTTTGCTTCTTCTTCGCGTCATATTCTTCTTCTTCTTTTAAAGTCTTTTTTTCTTCTTTGTGTTGTATTCTTTCAAACTCTTCTTCTTTTTGAAACAGTTCTTCTTCACGTCTTATTCGTCCAAACCGTCTTTTTAGTGTCGTATTCTTTAAAACTTCTCGTGTCGTATTCCTTCGAGATCTTCTTCAATTTCTTTGAGACGTATTCTTTCAAATCTTCTCCGTGCCAAATACTTTCAAACTCTCCTACTTTTTCTTTGAGTCATATTCTTTCAAACTTCTTCGTGTCGTATTCTTTCAAACTCTTCCTTTTCTTTTTCATGTCGTATTCTTTCAAACTCTTCTGCTTCGTGTCGTATTCTTTGATAGTCTTTTTCTTCGTGTCGTATTACGAACTTTTCTTCTACTTCTTTGTCTTCGAGTTGTATTCTTTCAAACTTTTCTTCTTCGTGTCGTATTCTTTCAAACTTTTCTTATTTGTGTCGTATTTTTAATACTCATCTTCTTCGAGTCGTATTCTTTCACACTTTCAAACTCTTTTTCTTCTTCTTCCTGTCATATTCTTTCAAATTCAACTTCTAGTCGTATTTCCTCAATCTTCTTCTTCTAGTCGTATCTTTGAAACTCTTCTCCTGCTTCCTGTTCAATTCTTCCAAACTCATCTTTTTTCTTTCGAGTCGTATTCTTTGAAATTCTTCTTCTTCATGTCGTACTGTTCCAAACGTGACGTAATCTTTCAAACTCTTTTTTTTCGAGTCTGTCTATATTTCTGAGTTGAGGTATTATGTACATTATTTTCATTATTCGGACTATTGTCCTCATCTTTGTCGCCATATTTATCACAACGTTTCTGCCTTCTTCAGGTGGTCTTTATTTCGCTTACTTCGTAGACTGTTCTAGTTCCACGTGACATGTTGATGGATGTCAGTTATTAGTTATCTCCTCTTAATTTCCCTCTGAAAGTTCTCCACTGCCTTAACCGGGTATTGAACTCACACTCTTTGGGTCTTGTCACTGGATCTAACCAACGCTTGAGGACATCTGGGTATGAATTTCTGGGTATTATAAACCTAATGTCTTCAGCAACCATTTTTACCAGTGCTCATATTGCAATTTTGTTGTTATCATTGCTTTTCTCTGGCACTCCTTATTACTGGTTCCCATATTGTATTTATTTCTATGCTTGTTCGGCTCAGGAGATTTTTGTGGCCTAGGATATGTGCTGATTCCTTAAGTTTACATATTTTCCAGTGGTGTTCCTTGTCTATGATCACAACATTATCCCACAGAGGGCAGTGATCTCCCATCTCTCTCCATATGTGGTCAGCCACGCCTGATTTTTCTACTTCCCTTCGTGTTACAGCTTTCTGGTGTTCTTGAAGCCTTACCTTGAGGAGGCGGCCCGTTTCTTCTTTATATTTCTTTCCGCGGCTTCTTCTTCTTCTTCTTCTTCTTCTTCTTCTTCTTCTTCTTCTTCTTCTTCTTCTTCTTCTTCGTGTCGTATTCTTTCAAATCAAACTCGTCTTCTTCGTCTCGTATTCCTACACACTCTTGTTCTTGTTCTTGTTCTTCTTCTTCTAGTATTATTCTTTCAAACTTTTCTTCTTTTTCATGTTGAATTATTTAAAACTCTTCTTTTTCTTCTTCTTTTTCTTCTTTTTCTTCTTCGTGTCGTATTTTTTCAAATTCAAATTCTCAGAAATCATTGTCTTTTTTGGTATCTCGCCCAATTCCTGCCTTGTCAACCATTTACTCGTTAGGTAGGTTATGCGCTGCTTTACTGCTGCGAGACCGGGCATCTCTCAATAATATTTTCAGTTGCCCTCTGTCCGCAGGTAGAAGCACAACTGGGGGATGGTATGTAGTTTAATAAGATTTGATCCAGGCTAAAAGGCCAAGATGTAAAATGGCGATCTCGAAAAAGCGCCATTTTCCAGATGCACAGTATCAAACGACAGAAACTGAGTAAGTCAATGGCCAAAAGTCCAGTTACCCTAAATGAAATAACATCATCTACTGAATTATTTTACAATTATTATTAAGAGAATTGGCGAGTACAATAATAATAAAAATAGTTAAAACTCAACGCTCCAAATCTTTTTTTGGGCTTTTAATTAATGATCAATTGTGTTTCATCTTCAGCTGAAATATGAAGTGATCCTGATTCTGAGGATTCTAACTTTAGCCAGTAACTTTCCATTACCTATCCGCAGGAGATGCAGTTGGTTTAATATAGGCCGCTTCTACAAAGCCATCTGGACTTGGTTGGCAACCAGCTTAGGAGAAAGATAATCAAAATTCAAAACAGTTGAGTGGTTTCTCGTTGTCCCCATGCACGAAACGAATGCTTACCAAAAGACACAAAGTAAATTTTTGGGTTATTCGCGCTGATATGAAATCTATGACAATATAATTAAAATCGATCTTTTTTGACAAATATGTAGTAAAAACGAAAAATGATTAATGCTATATAACGAGAAAAAGAAAAGTTAATTTTTTGGCCAATCTATTACATAATGAAATATGAAGGTAGAGCGACGGTTATCGGCGTGGAAAGTGGAATAAGAGAACGAAGTTCAGATTCTAGTCTAGCATATTACGTTTTAGTCTTACACTAATGCACTTGGGAAAAGCAATAACCTGTCTCTTCTTGCCACCACTATTTACGAGTTAAATAGCAAGATTGATTTGGGTGGAAACTAATTAAAGAGAGGTACAACTCTGGATCCCAAACCGTGTAGAAGGTAACGAGAAACCAATCCGCTATATTTCCCAAGAATTCTTGGCAACTAACAGATAATAAAGAAAAAGAGCCTGAAGAATCCTAATCGCAGACATCCTGAAGAGACATGTAATTCAAAAAAGAAGAGAAAACAAAAGATTACATGATGTCGACCAAGAATTTCTGTTTATAAAGCGGGATTTGAGCTGAACCCCGATGAAATATCAGTCCTCTTATATGGCAGGGAATGTTAAACAATTTCCTCACAGATGAAGCGGAAATTTTGAGACAACAGAGATGTGGCTGTCCAGAATGATGCTGAGAATACCATGGACAGAATATATGCGCAAATGTGAAGTTTTAAGGAAAGGTGGAAACAAAAAGTAAAATTGTATTTAAAATCAGAAAGAGAGAGTTACGATTTCTTGGTTGCATAATAAGGAATGACGGCGTGAAGAATTTGACACACACAGGATATATTAAACGCAAGAGGGATGTGCAACCTACCTAACGAGCCTGTATAAATAGATGGAAGAACAGGGACTAGGGTGGATAATAAGGGGGCAGACATTACTTACAGCTTCAAGGGATACGAAGTTGTGGAGAACTGTGATCACCCACATCATGAAGTGGCACGGCATGTAAAAGAAGAGTTTGTTCAAGAAATGAGAGTTTCATTAACGAATTGATGATTTTTGTATGAGTTTATTTTTTTTTTGTTCAAAGTTTAACCTCGTTAAAATTAATCATAAGTTTTATTGTATGGTGTGAAAGATAAAATAAGTTTAAAAGTTGGGAGAAATTCGTGATACGTTTTTTATCATTTCGCCCCACGCAAAGCGATAACGCCACTCGAACCCAAGGGGTTACAAGGAGTGACAGGGAATGAGAAGACTTGGGACAAGAGGAAAAGGGTTCAATAAAACAAGATGGTGATTGACATTGCATTTACATCGAAGATCGTAGTTATAAGGGAAGGAAGAAATCGGAAGCGGGTTCTACAGGTGGGAAGTGAGAGAAAAGAAACTGTTAGAGTAGAAATGGCGGTTACATCTAACTAGTTTAGCATAAAACGGTGAGACGTAGCCGCTAACTGAGTAGCATGCTTAAATTCATTTAGTCAGAGCACCAGGGAAAGAAGCTTATCAGAAAAATTGTGGTGAAAATATTTGTAGAAAAGACAGAGGAAAGCCATGTCACGTCCGTGAGAAAGTGACTGAAGTTGAAGTGTCTGGTCATGATCGATTATATTACAGAACCTTTTTTGAATTTTGTCAAGAATCTTGAGATTTAGTATAGCAAAAACACCAGACCTTAATTTTTGCCCGGCAATGGATGCGTACACAACAGATTCAAGAAATTTATCAGTCTCTTCCATGACAAGACAATATGGATACCATATCATACAAAAAAAAATAATTGGAACTCTTTTAGTCTTTTCTAACCTACTCACTAAGTACACCTAACCTGGCACTAAACAATTGTTACCATTTTCGATCGCAAAAGAACGTTTTGATGGAGAAAACTTCTATAATGAATACCAGATTCAAGCGTTCATTGAAAACCTTCTCAGATCAAACCATGCGGATTCTTTAAAAATCATTTCACCATATAAAGCCACTAAGATTCAAGTGGTTACTGAGTGCCAGAGAATATGAGAAAATATACTATTAAGGAGAGAGGACAATAACTGAATAAATTCAGACAGATGGTAACAATTGACATTACATTTAAATTTTGAAAATCAAAGTTGACTGGAAAGCGAGATGCCGGAAGAGAGATCCACAAGTGAGACGTACGAGAAAAGAAACCGTTGGCACAGAACTTACGGTTACATCTAGCAAATACAACTGGAAAGTGATGAGACCTTGCTGCCAACCAAGTACTGCGCTTAACTTCATAAAGTCTATGTGCTATAGAAAAAAGTTCATCAGAACAATTATCATGAAACTATTTATAGAAAAGGCGCAAGGGAACTACGTTACGGCGGTGGGAAAGGGACTAATGCCGAGATGCTAGCTCAGAACATTACAGATTCTTGTTTGTATTTTATCAAGAATCTTTAAATATATTGCAAGAGTTCCAGGTCATATGTGTCAGCAATATTCAAAGCAAGGACAAATGGTAGACTTATAGTTAGATTTTGGCAAGAAAAATTGTCTAACACCACATAGTGAACGAACTTTTTTAGCTGCAGACTTAGCAATTTTACTTAAAAGTATCAAAGACCTGCCTGATAACTGGCAACAAGTCACTCCAAATAACAAATATAATTTAAATATAATTGTATCTTATTTTTTTAAGAATAAAATTTATTAACAAAAAACAGTAAATATTTATGCGTCACCGCAACGGATTAATATCTACAGGGTGTTTGTAAAGTACATTTTTATTAATAGACATGTTTCAATATAGAATACAGGAAGAGAATTTAAATGGAAATTAGAAACAAGGTTGAAAGTGACGTTCGTTAACATCAATAAAGGTTTGGCTCTTTCTTATTTTGTTCTTGAACACCGCTATCTGTTGCCTGCTTGAAGAGATGGGAAGACTTTTAATTTTTGTCTGACGGTCTTATGAGCAATTCCAAGAGCAAAATCTTGCTGAAGCTCTAACTTTCGTAATGATTTTCTGGGATTCTGCTGCACACAGTCAGAAATATCCAACAGTTTCTCCTCCGATAGCTTTTTCCGCATTCCACAACATTTTGCATCGTCCACTGATCCTGTTTTCTGAGATATATCAACAAGGTTACGAACTGTATTATGATGTGGAACAGGTGGATTTGAAAAATTTGTCAGTAAAACACTGTCGCACCAAATTTGTGCATCTACCATCTTCTCGAAATACATGTTCGACGTGAAATACACATTCTTCAGTTAAGACCATTTTGGGATGAAATCTGAAATATAAAAATATGATTAAAAAACTGCACAGTAATTTTCCGGGCACCATGTACAAGTCAAAATCTGCATCTTAAAATGCAGAACATTACAAAGAGTCTAAATTTGTAGCTTATAGTGTCTAAATTTATAATCCATATAGTGCTATAAATATTAGCATCTACAGAATCGCCAGCCACCCCCGCAGTTTCAAATTTAATTTTAAGAGTCGGATTGAAAGATCCAGGAACACTTTTTAGATTAAAATTTTTTCAAGAGGACAATGTTTATTTTTGTGTTTATTTTTCAAAGAAAAATTGGGTTAGGCAGCAACACTAACCGGATTGACGTCATTCTAAACACTTATTTATGTAGAAGAATAAAAAAAGGAAATATTTAAGTGATATATTTTAAGGCACCTTTGTATTCCTCTTTTAACACAACTTCCGTACCCCCACTCAACCCCACATTTAAAGTCCGCACCTTCATCACAAACTTAAAAAAAAAGTGCCTGGACAGATGAAAAATGTTATCACGCAATCCAGCCTCTTTAGAAAGAAGTAGATGTCTGCTATTTAATTTTAGCGGAAAAAGGTGTGAAAGGTCGAATTTTAGGTCAGGGTTTCGATGAAAATGTCTGCAGAAATCAATTCTTCGAGCCAAAGTTTGCTAAAGCGTTCATTATTTATCACATGCCACAAATAAAACAAATATACCAAATTTCTATGCATCCTAACCCTAATCCCGCAACAGTCTATCATGCCAGGAGTTAGAGAAAATTTAATAGATGAAGAATTTTATTTTCAGCGAGATGGTGGACTACATCTACCATCGTGATGTACGATGGTACCTGAAATAAATCTTTCCAAACAGATTTATCTGAAGATAAGGTTCTG